CAGTTATAGATGTGTTTTGCCACATCATTTATAATGTTTTCATTCTTATTGTTAAAAATATTAATTGGAAACTGTCCAATGTTTTGTTATAATGAATAATGTTATGTTTTCTGAACAAACTTTCCTTAGTGTATAACTGACATGACAGAAAAAAGTGTTGCTCATTTTCAATTTCTTTAATTTCACAAACTGAACATTTTCTATCAGAGATTGGTCAATCTGTAAGCGATGGCCACTTATTCTCAATTTGGTCATTGCAGAGCAATATAGTGTTTTTTTTATTATTTGCGAAAAATCTGTTAATTGATTTCCTGTGCGTTCCCAGTTTATTTTTATGGTTTGCGACTTTGTCGTCATTGTGCATAGATTCGTCACATCTTTTCTGGCATCGAGTTTTTCGCATTTTTTATTAAGGCTTCACTGTGTTTTAATTGTTTGTTTTTCTAGATATTGAGTTTTAATTTACCTGATATTTGAGTTGCACTCAATACCCAATTTTGTGTACCTAAGTTACCCCTTGCATTTTCAAACAAAATTTCTGGCATGTTTCTTATGCTCTTCCAACATTGTATCATTTTTCCAGTGCTTACTTCTACTAAAATTGTTTTGTCTGATATATGACAGAAGTCATCATATACATTGTATGGTTATGATTTCATTAAATAATTCTTGTACCATAACCACTATTGTCATATTTGCTATATTTGAGATACATGTCATGATGGGGTGGTTTTATACCCTGCATATGTATGAACAATGATGGCAACTTTGATGGTTGCACAGATTAATTATATTACCAAGCTTAACGAGGTAATTTCTTTGGTGATTTGAAGGTATCGAAAGAGTCATCAATCGCAGTACGGTGGAATACTTTATTTCAGCTGGAATTAATTATCGCTGAAAAGACATTTTGCGTGTTTTGTATGGAATTTATTATTACTTATTATTACGTGCGTTATCATTCTATATTTGGAATTCGCGTTTTCGTATGAAAATACCCCGTAAAATACTGCAAAATTAAGGCACGCTGTAACTTATGGCGTTAAGGTGACCGATGTGTAATACAACATTTTAATTTCATTGAAAGCTTGATGCTGATAACTGGAAGGAAGAAGGCAAACTTGATGAAATTCGTAAAGAACGTAACTATAACTATGAAGATGAAGTGGAAGCGACCCGGGAAACACTACCAAGCTATGATGCAACGGTAAGAAAGTAGTTTGAGTGGGTTCAGAGTGTGATTCACTGTACTTTGTTGACTGATTATCAAGCATGCAAGTAGAATGTACGTGTACAGTGAGATTTACATGAACACAGGATACACTTTCAAATAATAGTTTGCGTTTTTTCTTCCATCATTTTCATGTATTGATGAAGTGCAACTGACAAACAGCAATTTTTGTTAGCAATTTACATTTTACCATATCATGAATCGTTTTGTTTCATTTTTGATTTCATTCAAACTTGATCAACAAGTGTTTTACTGATGCACCTCAGTATTTTGTGTGTGATTTGATTCAAAAAGATCATGTTGGTTTTATTTTCCAAGTTCTCATTTTGTTTCGTTTAAATTTGATACTAGCAGAAACATTTTACTATTTTGTTGAATTTCTAAATAATTGGCTTATGTGTATTTAGAAATAAGCACCACACTTTCAGATGGTATAAAAACATTTTATTATAATTTTTGAATTAAGAACAAAAGAAATTTACGTAATTATGAACAAATGAGTTTTAAAAAAATAAGAGGCCAATGCATTTTAATTTGCGACTTTAGAAGTTGCCTACAACCACATAGTCTCCATATAGTACCAATAAGTCATTTTGACTTTGGATTCTAATCAAACTCGGTCTTAGAGAACACACTTCCAGGGGTTTTTCTAGAAAAAAAACTGCAAGAGGGAGCACTGCAATTCAGCGACGCCACCGAGTGGGGGAGATGCGGGTTCTCCCTAACAGGGTGTGGATTTTTTGATAATTCTAAGTTAAAATGGAGCATACTATGGCTTCCTTGGAGTTGAAATTACTATCAGACAGGTCACAGTTGAAGTCTGTGGCCACATGTGATCCCTGGTCAATCAGAATTTTATGGTTGCCAGAAGATCTGCTCCCCAGGGTAAGAGGGTGCATGGCCATGGCATGAGGGTGCTGCGCCCCTGTTCCCTTGTTTAAAAAAATCCCTGCACCCCGCCCCCTCCCTGTACGAGTATATAAAACAGTATTTAAATATTTTGGTGAGCCTTACTGACATGAAATGTGCATGGTTCTATCGCTACACAAATGTGAATGAAAAGGTTTTGACATGCAGATGACTTTATCATAGACATTTATATTCAACAATCCTCAAACGTCCTTGAAACGCACAGTGCTAAGAAAACCAACTAGGTCAGTGTTAATAGTATACAGGGGTTTTCCTAGAAAAATTGAACATGAGGGAGCACAGGCAGGCGAGGGAGCGGAGCGAGAGTAGCAGCACAGAAATAACATGGCGGATTGACCTGGAAACGCCATATCGGAAGTTTTCTGCACCGTTTTAATGGTGTATCTATCGCCATTGAAATATTTTTGGAGTAATTTTAGTGTTTTTGGTGTCCAGACACATTGTCAGCTGGTGTTGCTGAGAAGTTATCACGGAGAAAAATATATTTGAGAAAGATTTCATGTCGTACAGCAGCACAGAAGTGCGAGGCTCAAGAAATGTATTTATGACTTCAAAGTTCAATCGGCCTGCGCCCCTGTTCCCCAGTTTAGAAAAAATCCCCTGGTATATCAGCAAGCCGAATTGGTCGTTCAGTTTGGAAACAAATTCTGTGTGTTGCCACAGTAAGGTTGGGAGTATCTTCAAATGTGATTTCTAATGAAAAGTAATATTAATGAATGCATACAACTGTATAGCGTTCACAGTAAGATTGATAATATTTCAAACAGTTTTCACAAAGATATGTTTTGATATTTTGACGGTGACTAGTTGGTGATGTCACAAGTTTAAATTGTGTGCAAATACCAATTAACTCGAGGGGTGTATTATGGAAAAGTAATTCATGGCTTCACATCATGATGTATGCAATCAATATCTTGTATGAGTTTTGTTAATGAGGTAATGTCAGCTTAGAGCCAGCGTGAAGTGAAGTTATGCTCGGGCTGTATACTCTAAAATAAGTGAAATTTTCATGAGTAGGATTTTATCATTTCGAAAGCAATTATCAATTAATGCAAATAGCAATCTCCATGGTATCTTGATGTTAACGATGAAATTTACAGTTTCTGAGCAATATGAAATTTTAATTGTTCAATGTTTTTTTTTAAAAACTATTATAACGCTACAACAATTATGATTTTATTTTGGATACACAATATGGCACAGCAAAAGAACTCAAATACAATGTAAATGTAATAAAACAGCTTCAAATGACTGCTATCTGTCAATGTCAAACGAGAACATTAATTCCAAGAATGACAAATGACAGTTATATTATTATAGTTTCCAGAGCAATGAAAGTTAATGTGTCCAATATTATTTTAATTTCAAAATTTCAGTATAAATTGTTCTATTAACTCCATATGGTTTACTAATTTTGCTGATTTAATGAGCTATACAATGATTAAATTACCCTGATTGCTTTAATATTGAACAGATTTAGTCATTTTGTGAATTGAGATTAAAAAAAATATGGTTAAAAAAAAAAGGCTATTTGATCTGATATTAATGTTAATTTTTGATTTGTAGAAATCCTGTCAATGGGATTGAATTTTTAGGTTCATGGTGGAAAGTCTCAAAATGTGATTGGTCCAGGCATGTCTAAGATACAGGTCCACCAGACGCACGCACGCACGCACGCATGCATAAAAAAAACACAAGTCCCAGTTTTCGGACTGCATTCGAACGGGGACTAATAACAAATTCACGAACATATTGAGATGTTGGTGCAATCAAACTTCACACTAGCATCATACATAATATTATACATATACACATCAATGATCTGATTGTTTCATTATCTGATTCAAGATGGTCAAATGGTGGCCATTTTTGTGCTAAAAAATCATCAAAATCTAGTATTTATGGATGGATTTTGTTTAAACTTGGTAAATACTGTGGACATTATGGGACTTGATGCACATCATTTTATTTTTCATGTTCCAATTTAAAATGGCTGACTGGTGGCCATTTTGTTTTAATGAATGTGGTTCTAGTGCCATATCTCTGCCATACTTTGACTGATTATGATCTAATTTTATATATTCATTATACATCATGACATAGATATATTGGTTTGACTATCTGATTCAAAATGGCCAAATGGCAGCCATTTTAGTGCTAAAAAATCATCAAATATCAAGCATTTCTAGCATTCCAGAACTGGATCTTGGCGTTTATGGATGGATTTTGTTCAAACTTGGTATATACATTAGAGATTATGGGTTCCTGATGCACGTCATTTTATTTTTCAGATCGGATTCAAAATGGCTGACTGGTGGCCATTTTGTTCAAATGAATGCACTTCTAGAGCCATATCTCTGTTACGCTTTGACTGATTATGTTCAAATTTTATTATTCGTTTTACATGTTATAGATATTTAAAATGGGCGACTCATGGCCATTTTGTTTTAATTAATGCTGTTCCAGAGCAATATTTTTCAATATGGACAAGTACTCATTTGACGATCAGATACAAGATGTCAATCATTTTAATGATAAAAAAACATCATAATCAAGCATCATCTTCTGGTTCCATACTCCTGTTTATTTTCCAACTATATGACTATAAACAAAACTATAATTTTTGTTGGCGGGTTAATGGAAACTATATTAGTTTAAATACTTTTCTGAGTTTCAGGTATCAGGTAAAACGCCATTTCTAATTCTCCTATCCTCAACTCGATCAAACATGAAGATGTGTTTCACTCATCTATCGAATTTACACAAAATATAAACATATTACCCCCCCCCCCCCCAAATCCATAAATATATCTGTGGCTCCAAAACTGGAAACATTCAACATATAGAAAAATTGACTGTATTCAGAGTTTATGAATGGGGGTTGTATGCAAGCAAATGTGACAAAGGAGTTTTGAATACGCATTTCAAATTGCATTAGGAATATTTGACCTATCAGTGTTATAAGGAATTCTTTCTCTTTCTTCTTTGTAGTAAAATTGCTATAATTACTCTTCTGTGAAAGCCAGTTATTACGCGGCTTAACAAAATGAAGTCAGGCAAAATTTACTATAATGCATGTCTGATTGTCGGTTTTTAGCTTCAGCATAGTTACTCTTGTGAAGACAACTGAATTAGACAGTTAGCATACAACACAAGACACAACTACACAAGACTCTGCAACTTTTCAGCAACAATGTTGATTCCCACCAAGATGGGCATGGCAGAGCTAAACATTAGAAATATTATAAAATGGTAATTTTTTTTTCTCAGATCTGAACACACAAAAATTGAAAACCAATGCCTGTCATGTGTCGTATTTTTTTGATTCGATTTTTTTTTTAGTGTTAAGAAGCAAAAAATAAAATGGCTAGTATTTCATTCAAATTAGGTGGTAGTTTCACTAGACTACATGCTGTTCAAAACAAATGATTTATGTTCCTTAGTATGCATGACAACTGCTTATTACAGTGGATTGTTTTGTTTTATTTCAGTGATAACTTGTTTCAAAGTTTTTATTAATATGTAGTAAGTTGATCTCAGAAGCCGAATACAATACACTCAGTTGACTGTTGGTGTTGTTCCAATATTACAATAATTTGTCTATAATGCATTTGATCTCGTACACCAATTAGAATTATTTTTCTTTTTTTCAGCTCGAAATGTGGTATGAGGAACATATTCATTCAGATGAAGAAATTAGATTCATCTTGGATGGTTCTGGGTATTTTGATGTCCGTAACCGCAACGATAAATGGATCCGTATCGAGACTGAAAAGGGAGACATGCTTATCCTACCTGCTGGTATTTACCATCGATTCACTATGGACACCAAGGTGAGCTTATTGTGCTGAAATAAAGATGTATATTATGATTCTATCAATTGGGTTCACTCTGCAAACTTGTGTAGTATGCTCGCACCTGACGTAACTGACTCACCTTCTAGACTTTGAGGCAAAATCTAAAAAGGTATTCGGGAAACCAATAGGTAGTCTTACCAAACACTGATGGCCAATTCATAGGACTTGTTTCTAGTATTGTCAACTATA